GAGAATATAAATACTGCCATCTTTCTGCTGTGGTGAAGGATGTTCAGTGGCAGGCTCATTGGAAGGCAGATTCAACCCTGACAGGGACTTCAGATCAGTCACAACTACTTGGAGGGGAACAGAAAGACCGCCAGCTCTTGTGTTGCAGTGCCAGATGTTCAGTGGCAGGCTCACTTGAATGTGAAATCAACCTTGATGGGGACTCAAGATCAGTCAGAACTACTTGAAAGGAGAACACAAAGACCACCAGCTTTATTGCCGTAGTGCCAGATGTTCAGTGGTAGGCTCACTTGAAGGTGGAGTCAACCCTGACAGGGAATCGAGATCAGTCACAATTACTTGGGAGAACACGAAGACCACCAGTTTTCTTGTGCTGGTGCAGGACGTTCAATGGCAGGCTCACTTGAAGGCAGAGTCAACCGTGACTGGGACTTGAGATCAGTAACAAATATTAGGCATGAGAATATAAATACTGCCATCTTTCCTGCTGTGGTGATGGATGTTCAGTGGCAGGCTCATTGGAAGGTAGAGTCAACCGTGACGGGTTCTCGACATCAGTCACAACTACTTGGGAGGAGAATACAAAGACCACCAGCTTTATTGCTGTGGTGCGGGATGTTCTGTGGCATGTTCACTTGATGACAGAGTTCACCATAACAGGGACTTGAGATCAGTCACAAGTACCTGGGAGGTGAACACAGGGACTGACAGCTTTCTTGCTGTGGTGCTGGATGATCAGTGGCAGACTCATTTGAAGGCAGAGTCAATCCTGACAGGGACTTGAGATCACTCACAAATAGTTGGGAGGAAAATAAAAAGACTGTCAGCTTTCTTGTTGTGGTGTTGGATGTTCTTTCAGTGGCAGGTTCACTTGAAAGCAAAAGTGAATCATGACGCAGACTCGAGATCTTTCCAAAGTACTTGAGAGGAGAATACAAGGACCACCAGCTTTCCTGCTGTGGTGCCGGATGTTCAGTGACAGGCTCACTGTAGGCAGTGTCAACCCTGACAGGGACTCGAGATCAGTCACAACTACTTGGGAGGAGAACAAAAAGCCCATGAGTTTTCTTGCTGTGGTGCCAGATGTTCAGTGGTAGGCTCACTCTAAGTTGGAATCAATCTTGATGGAGACTCAAGGTCAGTAACAACCAGTTTGGAGGAGAACACAAGGACTGCCAGTTGTCCTTGTGTTTTTTGGGATGTTCAATAGCAGGCTTATCAGAAGGCAGAAGCATCTTGAAGGGAGCTCGAGATCAATCAGAATTATTTTTGTTTAGTAGCAGGGTCATTAGAAGATGGAATCAACCCTGAAAGGAACTTGCTTTTACCTTCAATATTTGGCGGTTGGGGGAAAAATCCAGCTCTTGGTAGAAGATAAGGAGGAAAACCCCTGGGTGGATAGGCGTTCCTCACTGCAAATGGAGCATGTGGTGGACCTGGGAAATTGCTTGGTGGAAAATCATGTGGAGAAACTCCAAACAGGGTTCCTGGAGGAGGTGGGGGGAAAGGAGTTCCTCTTCTCATATCGGTAACGTATATGTAATACTCTCTGCCAAATCCTGTGTTTGGAACATCAACTGCAGAAGGATATTTGTGTAAAAATTTGAATTTCATCTCTGTGTCAGTTAATTTCTGTCTGTACTTAGCATTTTCTTTCCTTAAGTCATTGAGATTGATTTCAGCAGTCTGAGCTGCCAACCAATTGTCATGTGCTTTTTTTTTTGTGGAGTAAAATCTGCTCTTCATAAGAAAGAATCCTTCTTTCTAACTCTTGTTCAAGATGTTTGACTTGCTTTCTATACTTCTCCTGCTGGTCAGTGGTATAGTTGATCTTTTTGTCTTGTTTAGAACCTTCTCTTGTCTCTCTACCTGGTAATTTTCCTCTACAGTTAATGTTTTGTAAAGTCTCATTGTAGTTTCTTGATGTAATTCAGTCATTACTTCAAGTTTCTGTTGAAGCTTCTGATTCTCACATTCAAAATGTGTGTTTTCTGACTGCAAAGATGCTGGTGCAGACTGAAGATGTTTAATATGCCCCATAAGCTCCTTCTTCGTTTTATCAATTTTGGACGACTGAATATCAATTTGATTTCTTTCTCCTTCTAAAATTTTTAAAGAAGCATTTAACTTCACAGCGTGAATCAGTTTCTTTAAAGCTCCTTTTGGAGGATAAACTAAGTCAGCGATATTTTCTGATTCATTCTTCATTTCTCCTTTGAAGTTCTGATCATCCATTATGTCTTCTCCAAGCATAGCAGCCCAACCTTTCATCTTCAGCAAGTGTTTAATCAGCATCTTGATGTGATCGTCTTTGTCATTTAGAATTTGCTCTGTGTGTACTTTGGAGTCTTTGAATATTACTTTCTGTTTATTAAGTTCATTCACTTGTTCTTTCCATACTTCAGCTTCTTGCAAAAGATGTTTCTGGCTTTCCCGAAGTTGAGAATTTTCACCCAAAGCATCTTTTATCGCCGTCTTCAGTTGTCCTGCATTCATTTGAAACATCTTGAGGGGCATTTTGGCTTCAGCTATTTGTGATTTGAGGGATTTTGACAGATCTTCTAGAGACTGCCTCATTTCTGAAATATCCACCATAAACTGATGTTGTCAAGAATGCTCATATTTCTCTTCTTTTAACTCTTTTTTTAGATACAGTATTTCATCCTCCATTTTAGAAATGGACCTGCTCAACTCTTCATAGGCTGCCTTCAAACTTTGTGCTTCTGCCGCCTCCTTCTCAACGCTGACATCCTTTAAAGATGACTCTTTCATAGCCTTCATAGCTTTTCTGTACAAAACTAATCTCAAGTAGTTACATTTTTCCATAATTTGTTTACAAAGCACTACAGCAAGCTTTTTCTCTCTTCCCACATATAGCTGACTCCTAACTGATCAAAAACTTCTCAACAAAAAAAAGGGGAATAGCACAAAATCCAATAACACCTGTCCATATCACTAATTACCATGGAAAAACCATTAGAACTGGATACCATACTTTCCAGCAGTGCTGCCACAATCCTGTGTAGCATCTCCATGAGCAGCCCCAGGTAGGGTGAGGAGTAGCTCCAGGCTCCTACATAACCCCAGGCTCCGCAGTAACCCCAGCCTGTTGGGGTCACAATAAGCACCTGGAATAAGCAGCCTTCAGTCTGGAACTGGAGCAGACCACTGCCGAGCCGGTGCGGGGGGAGCTGTGGACATGGGGCAGGGAGGCGGGGGTGGGGCGGTGGAGGGCACTGGAGAACAGGTAGCCTTCAGTCTGGAACCTGAATCCACAGGCTACCACTGGAGCAGACCACTGTGCAGCCGGCTGTGGGGGGGGGGGAGCTGGCGGATGCGGACGCCCACAGGCCTCACAGACCCACGCTGCCCACCCCGACCCCCTCGTTACACTTTACATCTTGAGGCGGCGCAGATCCGGGCCTGACTCCCATTTAACTGTTTTTTTATTGGTAGTAGCGTGTTGTGTTAATTACTTTAGCTTTTTAATAATAAAAACATTTGTCAAGGGGAGACTGCAAATTTATATTTCTTCAAAATTGCCTTGGCCATTATTGAGATTTTGCTCTTCTATGTGAATTCTACTATCAACATGTGAAGTTTCATTTTAAAAATCATTTTGGCTATTTTTTGTTTTTAGAAACAGGATCTCACTCTGCCACCCAGGCTAGAGTGCAGTGGGACATAGCTCACTACAGCCTCAAAACCCTGGACTCAAGAGCTCCTCCCGCCTCAGCCTTCCAAGTAGCTAGGACTACAGGTGTGTGCCACCACACTGAGACATTTTGGCATTTTGAATTGCATTATATTTACAGATGATTTGGGACAAATTTCCATAGCTATGGAAATAGACTTTTTGCATCATGAAAGTAACATTTTCCCCCTCTAAGATTATCTTTTGCGTCCTTCACAAACATTTTGTAATTTTCTATGTTAATGTTTTGTGCATATTTTGTTTTTATTACCATTTTAAGGGTAGCTCTTTAAAAATCACATTTATTTATTTATTTATTTAGGACAGAGTCTTGCTTTGTCACCCAGGCTGGAGTGTGGTGGTACAATCTTGGCTCACTGCAATCTCTGGCTCCCAGGTTTAACCAATTCTCATATCTCAGCCTCCTGAGTAGCTGGGAATACAGGCATGCACCAACATGCCTGGTGAATTTGTGTATTTTTAGTAAAGAAAGGATTTTGCCATTTTGGCCAGGCTGCTCTCGAACTCCTGGCCCCACCTAGGCTCCCCAGAGTGCTGGGATTATAGGCATGAGCCACTGCTCTCAGCCTTAATTGGTCACTTAAACTTTTTAAGTTTAATTATATTGACCATATTTTTCATTTCCAAGATATTTATTTGTTTTAATTTTAATAATTTTTTTCTCTTACATATGTAATTTTGGCTTCTTTGATGTCCCTATTTCTTGCTCTTTTCAAATTTTTTTTCCCCTTTGGCTCTTTGACAAACCCCAAGTAAATATTGTTCAGATTCTTCTTTCATTTTCATTTTAATTCATCTTCTACTTGGTGGGGATTTTTAAGTTGCCTTTTTTAAGAATCCATGTGTTGTGGAAATTGAATTTTCACATTTTAAGGGGTTATTTTTTAACCTCTTTTTAGTACTCACTTCTCTCTGCTGGATAAGACTCTTTCTCTCATTAAATTATCTTGGCACCCTTTTTTAACAAATCTTTTTAAATAAGTTGGGCTAGGGAAACTGGATATCTATGTTTATACATGAATTTGTACCTCTACTTTATACTATATACAGAAATTAACTCAAAATGGATAAAAGGCCTAAACACAAGAGATTAAACTATAAAACTCCTATAAGAAAACACAGGCATAAATCTTAATAACCTTTCTTGACATTTGCTAAGAGAGTAGATTATAAGTGTTCTTACCACAAAAAAGGTAATTGTGTGAGGACAGGAATACATTAAGTAGCTTGACTGTAATATTCGGTTTACTGTGTATATGTATATCAAAACATCACGTCACACACCTTAAATACAGGCAATTTTAATAAAAGATAAAAACTTTAAAGAAAGATACAAAGTGAAGATTTCTGATGGTAAATGTAGTGCCTGCTGTCTATACAAATAGACATTTTTCCAGAGAAGACATACAAACAGCCAATGGGTATCTGAAAGGGTGCTTGCTCAATATCACTAATCATCAGGAAAATGCAGACCAAAATCACAATGAGATATCACTTGTTAGAATGGTTATTATCTGATAACAAGTTGTATTAGTCCACTTTCATGCTGCTGATAAAGACATACCTGAGAGTGGGCAATTTACAAAAGAAAGAGGTTTAATGGACTCACAGTCCTACATTGCTGGGGAGGGCTCGCAATCATGGCAGAAGGTGAAAGACACATTTCACATGGCAGCAGACAAGAGAAGAGAGAGCTTGTGCAGGGAAACTCGCTTTTTTAAAACCATCAGATTTCATGAGACTTATTCACTATCATGACTTTGAGTTTTAATGGAATGTCCATTATCTCTCAATATAATAAAGTAGAATCTAAAGTACCATGGAAATTATAAGTTATTTATTGAACCATAAGATGATCTCATATAGTGCTAGAAATGTTATAATTAAGTAAGCTTCCGTGTCTATAATCTTGATTTTTACATTTAGTTTTTAGTACTATGTATTTTATACCAAGATAAAACAGAATCAAATAAAACAATGTAATAAAGTAAATGATATAACTTAAGGAATCCAAGTTCAATATTACACATTTACTTAGCAAGCCAAAATATGCCTTCAAGGAAAGCTGAGAAATCTACTTAGAAATTGTCTGTAGCTTTTAGCATCTCAACCATCTAATCCACATACAGTGCTTGTGCCCTGTTTATAGCAGTTTCTTGCTTTTTTTCAAATTTCTTATTTTTTAAAAATGTTTCTGCAGCAATTCATTAAGACAGTTTGCAAACAATAAAATATTTGCCCTAAAATACTGTAGCAACACAACTTATAATTTACATTTGCTTAGATAGAAAGCGGCTAATCATACTGATTTAAAAAACAACACCAACAACAACTTCAGAATCTTTGGTAGCCAATTACCATAGAGGCATCACATCAGGGAACCATACTCTTCCCAGGTATTTGGAGACTTCAGTGTGAATTTCATCTAGACTATAATCCTCATCAGGGATCAAAACTTCCTCCATTATAGAGAGATGTGTTAGCCTTCTCCCACACAGTCTTACAAACTTGATGAAGGCACTGCAGCTAACTTCACATTCACTGAGGCCCAAGGCTGTTAAGTTTGTACAGTGTTCACCAATACAAATAAGTTCCTTATCAAGAGGCTGAAGACCATTAGCACACACCACTAACTCAAACAGTCGAGGACAGTTGAGACCTATCCGTCCTAGAACTGCTTTGCTGACTGAACAACCAAAATAAAGGTGAGTAACAGGGGTTTCTTCTTTGAAGAACATCTCAAATTCCTCTTCATATAGAAAGAAGTACATGACAACATTAACTCTAGGGGAATGCCTAATAAGTGCATCCCAACTGTGTTTTTTAATAGCATGAAATACAATCTGTCCAGGATTTTCACTCACAACATCAATTCGAAGATGTTCAAGGTTAACATGAGTCTCGCTTGAGAGTGCAAGGAGAAGTTCATCAGTTAGGATGTAATAATTCAATGCCAGTTCTCTAAGGCCTTGACAATGATCAGCTATACAAAGAATTCCTGTGGGAAGTTGGGGAAAATTCTTAGGAACAAAGAATCATACTTATCCTAATGCAATATTTTGTACATTTAAATTTAACATTAGTTACTCATTCTTTGTGAAATAGATATCTAAATTTCTGAGAACATGGCTGCCAAGAGATATAATGTATATAATGAAAAGCAATATATATATAAATTTAAAATATCTCAGGAGAAAGTTACTATATCTAACTACACCTATCTTGCAGATTAAGAAATCTTTTAAAAAAACTTACCTTAATAATTTATGCTTCATAAGCATATAATTTTCAATAAGATATTGCATCTTTACAGTTACTATAATAAAAAATTTATCATATAACTCTCACTTTAAAAAATGTAACCTACCATCAGATGAAACATGAGGACAGCTACTCATTTTTAGGAGTCTTAGAGTGTCACTATTATTGGCCACAAGAATCTTCAATGAAGGATCATCCACTGGTGTGTCTTCAATTTTGATTGATGATAAAGATTTTGAGTTGATAAAAACTACTGTAAGTGCTGACACAAAATGAGACTTGTGTGGCAATAAAAAATTATGAAAACATTATTTTAAAACATACAGCTTTAAGTAATTCATTAAAACCATATCAATACATGCTAACGATAACACAGTAAGAATCTGAACACATGGCTGCTTCCACAGAATCATTTTGCAGAAGATATTTTTATAACAAAGTACAGTTTTATACTTTTTATAATTGATACATAGTGAAAAAAAAAGCTTCAAAGATTTCATAAAACATGTCTTCCAACTGTTTCAATGTTAAGGATTTTGTTTTCAATATTAAAAGGGCATAATTATTGTATATTTATTTCCTAGAACAGAGGTTGGCAGATTATAGACCACTTGCCAAATCCAGCTCATGGTCTGTTTCGTTATGGCTCACTAGAATGGTTTTTGTATTTTTAAGCGGTTGGAAAAAAATTTTAAAGAATAATATTTTATGACATGAAATTACATGAAACTTGAATTTCAGTGTCCATAAATACAGTCTGATGGGAACACAGCATGCCCTTTATTTGTATGCTGTCTGCATCTGCTTTCAGACTGCAATGGTAGAGTTGAGTAGTCACAGCATAACTACACAGCCCCCAAAGCCTGAAACAGTTGCTATCTGAAACTTTTTAACCCCTGCTCTAGAACAAACAGAATCTTTATCTGATTTATTCACTCCCACATGTCTAGCCCCTAAAATAGTATCTGGCACATAGCATGGCAGGTGGATGATAATAATTTGTTGAATGAATAAATGAAGTTTTAATTCATTTTATAGGATTTCACAATATTCAGCGACATGCTTTTCCTTGCAAATTACCCAAAGTAAATCCAAGTCTGTATATGCTTTGAAGATTGACAGATTAAAGCTTACTTCTTGTTTGACCTTAAAATGAGTAGAATTTCAGAAACGTTCAGATTCGGTATTTTTTGGCAAAGATAGAAAGTCTGGAAACCAAATCTGTAAATGACCACTCTACCCTTTTCAAAATCAATCAATTTGGATTCTACCAAAGGTTCTATTACGCCTAACAGAATGACCAAATTGGTTATAAATGTTCATTAGTTTATAAGAAAACTTATTGATTTATACTAATTGTAAACTGGTTTACACAAATTTTCAAATGGTAGGAGGTTAGACCTCTTCAGTAAATTTTATGGTACCAAAATTATTAGGGGAATATAAATCCAAGGTTTAGTTTTCCTTTCATCAACTGTCAACTGACTGACTGAAGGATGACTTTAAAAAAACTAGAGTACATATTTCATTATAATAACAATATATTAGTTTAATACTATTTAGGCTTAGCAAAATGTTATACTTTTATTTTTCCTTAGTTTACAGATGAAAAAACTGAGTCTCAGAAAGATCCATGACCTTGCCAGAAGCCACAGAGCCTACTTTAAAAAGCAGAGGCAGAGCTTGAAATGAAGCTTGCTAATTAATTCCTGGTGTCCAGCTTTGATGACTGCATCAGCTAACCTAGAATCTGGCCCTGGAAGCTGATATGCAACATTAGAGACAGCTTTTAGAATATAAGAATTTCAGGGTAAGCTGATTCTGTAGTTTATAAACAAGGAAAAAACTATCTAGAAGTATGAATTTCATCGGATTACTTACATTATTCTAATCCCTAAATGACCCATTTTTTTTCAGCACATCCCTTCAGAAGATAAACAGACAGGCAGAAATGCTGGCTAGAAGACAGCCATGACCCAGTTTATAAAAGAGATGCTGCTATTCCTCTAACCTCTTCCATAGGAAAGTTTCCATTAGCCAGCTTTACCAACTACCACAATTTAATGTCCATCTTAGGCACTATTCTGAGTCTGCGTTTATAATGGTAAACAAAATAGAATCTCTGCCTTCGACCAGTTTATGTTTGGTGTGAGGAGACGGAAATAAACACATTAAATAAATAAGGTGGTTTCAAGTACTGATGAATGACATAAAGAAGATAAAAAAATGTTAACTGTAAAGTAACTGGAGGAGGGGGTGCCATTTTCACAATGGTTACGGAAGGGCCTCTCCGAGGAGATGGCATTCAGGTCGAAGCCTGAATGAAGAGAATACAATTGTTAGTTTCCATGGCAGAGCCTGCTGGTTGCTTCCTGGCAACCATTCTTCCTTTCTTTGTTAATCGAGTCCTAAGTTTTATCTGGGCATACTGCCATCCAGCTCGAAAATTCCCCAGACTCCCTGGAATCTGGTGTGGCCAGACTGAGAGGTAAATAGAAACACTGGGTAGTACTTATGGGTAGTCTCCTTGATAAAGAGAAGGCACACCCTTCTTCCGCCTTTTCTAACATCCCAGCGCCCAGAGCAAGGATGTGATGGTCAGAGCTGAGAAGGCCATCTTGAAGAAACACCTTGGAGAGAGTGGAGTGGCTGGTAGGAACCTAGGTTCCCACCACCTTCATACCAGCTATGGACTGCTCACCTATCAATTTCCTTAATGTGCGAGAAATATACTTTAATCATGTTTTTAAGCCACTTTTGTTTTGGAGTTTCTACTGCATGAATCTAAACATCATTCTAACAAGCATAGCTCATTTAGTTAAATATTACATTGTTCCACCTCCAACAAAGAGGCCACAGAATCACAGGAAACGCATCCACTATTGCCTCTACATACTCTGTGTTCAAAGTAACTACATAAATTGGCATTTAACTAGAATAAGCACAATATCCAAAGTTTATATTAATAACACTGTGGGAACAATGACTACAGTTAAAAAATATATCTAAAGAGTGAAAACATGCATAAACTACTTTTGCAAAAATAAGTTCTGGTCAATAGAAAATGGTTTTAAATAATACTTTGAATACAAATAAGAGATGGTCTGTCTTCAGGGAAAAAAAATGGCTTCTCCCTATTTGGCAGTATTGAGGGATTTTAGTATAGCTCACAAAAAAAGCATAACATGCTTACCTCTGACACATTCATGAAACTTGGCTTGGCTGTTGAAATCAAGCCCAAGGTCTGGATGGAACAATTTACCAGTTGAGAGAGTATATCACAGGCAGCTTCTGCTGACTCGGTGCTGCTGTCAACCTAGACAGACAATTTTTAATCTCAATTTCCTGAAGATAATTTTATCAGAAAGTTACTGGCAATGTAATTAGTTAGTAGAATTCAATTGCAAAATTTTATTCATCCCTCTGAACTATCATATAAATGAGTACTTTTTTCTTTGTACAAAATGTCTCAAGATCATAAAATGAAAAACAGAGATGATGACAAATTAGCCTTCCAGGCACTTCATATTTTCAAATCTTTGGCAATTACCAGAATTTTAATAACAGCATACAAATGATGGAAAGTGCATTTTAAGTTTTTCAATTATAGCTCAAGTTCTACACTTCTATTGATGCAAATAACTGCAGAAAACCAGGAAACCACTTCAGATAAAATGCTTTGCAAAATTCGCTGACTGCCTCAAAATAAGGCTCTAGATATACAAAAGCATTGTTAACAAAATATCAGTCACGGTTTCCATTTAATGCTTATTTTTCTTACCTTAAAGCTGACATATTGAAGATGAGCAGAATGCTTTTTAATGATCTGCTGAATGAGATCAGGATGAGTGGACTTAAAATATGAAGTAGCTGACTGGTTCAGTTCAAATTCAAACTTTCTCCAAAGGTCAGGAATATGAAAAACTTCATTCCATCTCCTACATACAGATGATGCACGGGCCCGATCTAGTAGAGGAAGATACTGAAAAATTCGTAATACTACGTGGTGAGGCAAACGTCCCCAATCTAGAAGAACTGTGTGCATACGACTCTGGTTGAGAGAAGAGTAGAACCCAAGTTTTGGCTGTTTTGCTGCTGATGATGACTGGACAATTTTATTCTCAACAGATAAACTGTTCCTCTTCATTCTGCAAATATTAGAAAGTGTTCAGTGTCTGACAGTTTTTTCACATTTCCACCAAATACTGGCACTCTAACTGTACAGAATAACATTAAAAAATGAAAACATGTCTAGTTAATACAATTTTAGTTGGTATCTTCCACTTTCATTCACTGATAGGTGCTACCTCGTGCTGGGGATATAGATAAAGAATTACAAATCTGTTCTCAAAGAGCTATAGTCAAATGGTGAAATACAGTGATAAATGCTATGACCAAAGTTGGGACAAGATTCAGTGGAAGGAAAAGAGGATGCGTGTGATTGAATTTGTGTATGGAAGAGGTAGCTTGCGGGGCTTCCAGGAGTAAATGTCCAAGGAAGCACTGTAAGTCCCACGTTTTTTTTTCCTGGTCAATTATTGTATCTTATCTCTTTCAAAAGAGGAAGTTTCACACTGAAATCATACTAAAAAAACTCTTGGGCAGTCTTGGAGACAGTAAAACATAACTAAAAGCATGGGTCTAGATAAGTCCCTACTCTGCTACTTACTGACCATATGATCTTGTCAGAACGAATTACTCTAATTTCTGCAATTACTGTAATTTCCTGTTGCAGGTGTTTCCCCACCTGCAGCAGGAAAAGTATCTATACGGTCATTGTGAGGATTAAAGCACCAGCCAATCGTTTAGTTGCAGTCTGTGTTCCTATATTCAATTGTCCAGTGAAGTTTTCTGAATTGTTTTCATTACTTAAGTCAAAGCATAATACTAACAAAAATTCAACTGATCTGCAACAATTTTCAGATGACAGCCAGGACACAGGAGCTCAGAGAAGTTGGATATGGTAGGGACAGAGTCTAAGTTCAAGCAGCACGCCTGATCCTCTCCAGTGAAGCAACCAGGGAATGAGTATTCTTACCCTCCAAACAGAAATGATGAATCTCCAGGTATTAGCCAGCATGGGACACAACTACATTCCAGCAAATTTGAAGTCCAGGTATGTCCAAGTAAATATGATCAACTTGTACATACATTTCATATAAGAATACAAAGTATTTTATGTATGCAATTAGTTGAAAGGCAAAATAATGGTAAGAATGGTTCTGAACTTTATTGACATTTGTTAACCCTCCTTTCACCCCTGCAATGTTAGGAATGTACACTTGGAAGATTCAGTGTCATAATTGAAACATACCTTGAAATCTAATGAAATATGTATGTAATATGCAAATATCTCTGTCTTGTGATTCACTCTGCCTGATGTGACACATTTCTTAACCACAACATAGAGCTGGATCCCAGAAGCAGGAATGAGCTATAAAGTCACCGAACAAAATGAAAAGTCATCGTTAGGGTTTGGAAAACTGAAATGAAAAGCAAAAATAGTTACAAAGCTGCATCTCAAGCATTAGACCAAAGAGCTACTACACACATTTTAGCCTGACTAAACCAGTTACATGCCTTACTTAGGTCCCGTCCAGCAATACTATGTAGACTCTGAAACTGCTGGCTACCAAGAATTCAAAGCATATGCTAATTTAAAGGACTCATCTACTACTCTTTAATGCTAACTCCTTAAAACTGTAAGGTACAAGAACAGATGCTGGATTCTAAATTCTAATGTGGACCACAGTCATTGACATTTTGCTTGTAACAATTTCATTTGGAAATCTACAAGATGGATACTTAAATTTTCACTAAGGTTTTACAAAGAAGTTACCCTTAATAGAATCCTTTACTTGAAAATCAATGATGCTAACCTAAAACAAAGATGTCACTCGAATGCCAGGTTACAAAACTGCCTTGCAGTTCTAAACAGAGTGATTGTGCTACATATATTGTGTATGCCACATCTCACTGTATGTGGCATGGATTGTTAAAATTATTTAATAATATCATTAAATTGCCAATTCACTGATAGTAGAATCACAATAAGTAATTAAGGGTATTATGTTAATACCAATAACTTGTTAAAAATAATATTTTAATTTTCTTTTAGGTTGTGTACAGTAATCTTCAGAGCATAAAGATTATACTCATCCACAAATCAAAAGCTTCATATAAAATAATTTTATAGCTATGTACATTGTAAAATATATTTTAGACAAATTGATCTTTACTAGCTTGAAAACAATAATCTAAACATTCTAGCCTAAAGATACATGACCATTTAAAAAGTAAATCATTTCTTTTTCAAGCCTTTCTTACCTAAGGGAGGCTTCCAGATTATAGTTCTCTCTGAACCAATGAAATGAAGCAACTGTTGCTGTGGGGGTACTCACCAACATCCATCTGATTTCACTTCCTATAATGGTAAATTACCACAAAAACACATTCATTAGAATACATAAACATCCAATAATTTCTATGCTTAGGTTCTTTATATATCACTCTACATATTGAAGAATTTTGTTAGGAAATTACTAACAAAATTCTAAAACTACTTTTTGTTGTTCATTAAAAAACTATCCTCACCAGGCACGGTGGCTCACGCCTATAATCCCAGCACTTTGGGAGGCTGAGGTGGGTGCATCATTTAAGGTCAGGAATTCAAGACCAGTCTGGCCAGCATGGTGAAATCCCATCTCTACTAAAAATACAAAGATTAGCTGGGTGGTAGTGGTGCACGCCTGTAATCCCAGCTACTCAGGAGGCTGAGGCAAGAAGGCAGAGGTTACAGTGAGCTGAGATCGCCCACTGCACTCTAGTCTGGGCAACAGAGTGAGACCTTGTCTCAAAACAAACAAAAACTAGCGTGGTTAGTGGAAATCTTACTACGATTCCCAGGAATTATACTTGAGGTTCTACTAAGGCTATAGATCAAAGAGTGAATGGACTCTGGAATCCACATTTTAATTGATGTCTACAGAGAGATACTACAAAAAATTGAGGGAGTTCATGACTACAATTATTTGTTTATAGGCTGTGTAAATCTTCCAGTTACAGTTTTTAGCAGTGCATAATACAATCACAGTTATAGTAAAGAGGCAGACACACAATTTTTATTATTTTATCATTCCTATATGAATATAGTTGGACTAGTCTGCTGTTAAAGAGAATATATGCTTCAGATTCAAAATTTTTTTCTTTTTCTTTTTCTTTTACAAATAGAGACCAGAGATGCTTCTAAACACACAGTGCTTAATAAAAAGAATTTTTCATATACATTGATAGAGTTGGCATTAAGTCAGTGATACTCTCTGAGGTTTACCAAATTTCAGGAAAGTGACTTGTCAAAGTTAGCAGCAAAGTCTAAGAAAATTGAAGAAAATAGTAACATAGGTCTACAGCAGGATAAAACTCACAGTCTTGGCATCGTGAATAAATGTAGTAAGGTAAAAATAAATAAACACATTCTACTACTTTTGTAAACCAAACTCAACTACACAGAGGAGGTAAACAAGGCAATCTATTAATTTACCAAACACTTCCCTTAAAACTCTACTGTCTACCACCTGTTAGTTTTCCATTTCTCTCTGAATCCCACTCCTAAAGCAGAACTGGGAAGGACAGGCTAGGGGAATGTATTTGAGCTGAGGATATACAATTTGATTTCCTCACTGCCGCCTGCTGTTCCACTGTCCTCCAGATAATGTCACAGTTGCCTCTCCTTCCTTTATTCCCTCTAGAAGTAGAGGGAAAGGAACTCCAGGGCACACTTTCAGTGAAACACCAAAAATAAGAGAAAGACAAGACAAGTGACTAGTTATTCCTCAAATTCAATGACACACAATTTTATTTACTGCAGAAACTTTTCTGCTGAGTTATACTTAAGGCTCATTTCTGTGCCAACAGGCCCTTCTTTATGCAAGAATACTGACATAATACTGACGTACCAATAGGGACTTGCTACGTAAAACCAGTAAGATGGGGTGCCAGTACCTATCTCAGATCAGTTCACTGAAGTCCTCAGAATCAGATGAATTACTTCCCTGGTTGCCGAAGGAACATGATGGCTGTCTCCGAGTCACTATCTAGAATTGTGAGGACAGGTAGGGAATAAAACCAGAATATAGGACCCCATCAAGTGATAAGCCATCCTTCCAAAAAGGAAGAAAAGAGCAAGCTGGACACAGACCTTCAGCACAATTCCAGAGTATGAAACAGGTTTACTAGCATTGAGGAGCTCTACTAACCACCTTTACGCAAATACCTTTTGTGATGTGTTTTCTAATTTGGTAGATCAGGTGGCCACGTGAATCAGATCCTCTAAAAGTATCTAAGAGATTGCCCACAGCATTCTTGAGGGCAAGATAATGAAAGACAGATGAGACGAAGACTGGCTGAACATCCACAGCCAGCTCACAAACGGCCATGGTAGCAGCTCTCTTTTGCACCATCACTAGATTCTTCCAGATTGGTGAAATGAATACCCAGAAGTTACGTTTAACAGTTTCAAGTTTTCCATGGTCACAACAAGAGAAATAATACATGAATACCACAGACAACAGAATATAGATTCAAAATTATCTGAAAAGGGTGGACAAATTTGTTGGGAGCAGCAAGATAAAAGTAAACAAAAATAATTATTAAATATCCTTTATTTAATCTCCTTCCTAAAGTTTCACGATGAGCAATCAGATTGTTGCCCCAGGCAGATGGCTGCCCCAGGCAGATGGTCCCTGTTAAGGAGCCTGGACTCCTAGTCACTGGTGTAATGGCAGGGGAAGCATGACCTGGACAGGCAGGCTGAAGCCTCCCACTCCAAAATACAGTTAAAAACACACAGCTTTCCAACAAAAGAATGGGTCAACACCTCCTTCTACTAAATGTAATCCAAGCAAAGGACAAAACATAATTTATTGGAAATGTATGAAAAAGATTTACGTTTTTTTTTTGTTGTTTTTTTTTTTGAGACAGTTTCGCTGGTTACCCAGGCTGGAGTGCAATGGCGTGATCTCGGCTCACCGCAACCTCCGCCTCCTGGGTTCAGGCAATTCTCCTGCCTCAGCCTCCCAAGTAGCTGGGATTACAGGCACGCGCCACCATGCCCAGCTAATTTTTTGTATTTTTAGTAGAGACGGGGTTTCACCATGTTGACCAGGATGGTCTCGATCTCTTGACCTCGTGATCCACCCGCCTCGGCCTTGTAGCTCATAGGATTGACTCTAGGTTCCCTTCTAAGCCTAAAAGTTACAATTCTTTTTAAACTATCAAATCAAATAAAAGTATCAGCTAGGTATTAAGGAGACAAAAGATGAAAAATATTTATGTCAAATTTTTCCTAAAGCAGTGGTTGCCATCTTTTCGATGTTCTGGCATCTTGTCACTGGTTTAGCAATTTTCTACACTTTCAAGTCTCTCTGTGATATTAAGACATAACTACTTAAAAAGTTTTACTTTCTACCAAACATAATACGTACGTTTTAAATGATATGAAAACTAAAGTTTTCCAAATATATGTAGACTGAAAACACCTCTGGAGACACAAGGGGTAAAGCTGAACTGGGCAGTTTGTAAAATCCCTGAATGGGGGGCGTCTGGGGCATTTGTTTCTCTCTCCACATAGACACCCCAAACTCGCCTCTCGGGACTCTGGAAGCGCAAAGGGAGCAGACAGCAAGCCAGGCCCTCCACGGGGAGGCCTGCCGAGCCAGGGAGAGCCCACCTTGGACTGGGAGTGCTAAGGGAGCTAACAACCAACACAGGTGTTTCCAGAAATTATTTTTGCAAGATTTTTCTGGGAGAAAATAATCATAATTTCTTCTTAATTTCTTATCTTGGAAGCGTCTTAAAAGGCACAAATCGCCGTTTAAGACTAAGACCGTACACCTTAAAGCGCACAGATGGGCGCTTTCACCTGGCGGGAAGACTACTTTTTGACGTTTCTTTGTGGCAACTATAAACTCCTGTGAACTGAACTGCAGGCAGTCATGCGAAAAGCAACCTCGGGTATCCGTGATCACAGGGAACGCAGAGCTTTCTAAGCTCACCCGCGACGAGCCACGCGTGGCTGACTGGGTGGCCGGGTGGGCGCCCGGCACTGCGGGAACCCAACCCCGCGAGAAAACGGCCGCCTGGGGGCTGCGCGTCGTCACCGGCGGCCCGAGCCAGGCCCCGCTCACCCCGGCTTCGCGGGCGGCCGGGTCCCGGGCCAATGGAGGGGTCGCTCCAGGGGGCGCGGGGCACCCCGAGACCGCCCCGACGCGGCCCAGGGCGCAAGCGCACGCCTGCCCAGCCTGAAGAGCGCGCCCGTTCCGCCCCACGTCGCCACCGCCGGCTGCGACCCCCGAAAGATGCGCTACCTTTAAAGAGAGGACCAGCCGCGTTCCCGCGCGTGCCCGGCGTTCGTGGGCCGGGCCGGGACGAGGCGCCGGTGTCCAGCCGTCCGGTAGGCGCTGGAATGGGCGCGAGCGAGGCCGGCTCCGCTGGCTGGGGGCGCCGGCGCGCCTGGTCGCCGGGTCCGAGCAAACCGCAGCCGCCCACGGCCCCGCCCCTCCTGGCCCCGCCTCGCGACTCTCCTCAGAGGCCGCCTCCACCCGCAGGCCGCAGCGCTAGCGCTGGCGCTGACGCCCACCTGGCGGAATCCTGCAAGGCGATCTGAGCCCCCAGCCCCTCTCCGGCGGGGTCGGCGGTTCCGAGAGCACCCCTTAGGTGGCACGTGGGAGGCTTCCTGCCTGCTGGTCTTCAGCTAATTCCCTGTGGCCACCTGCCTGTGACTCCACACAGGGGTGAGCTAACGCTTGTGGTTTCTGGGACTTACTCCCTGTGAAGCGTACCCCTTTATCAGTGCACAAAGGCAGGTGACCCTTGAGCAACGGGAATAGGGCTCGGGGTGCCAAACCCTGCGCAGTCCATGGGGTATAACTTTTGACTTCCCCAAACCTTGACACTTAATAGCCTACTGTTGACCGAAGCCTTGTCAATACGTAAACTGCGGATGAACACATATGCTGTATGCTCTGTGCTCTATGTATTATGTACTGTGTAATAGAGTATCAGCAGTATGGAAATCCGTGTGTTAAGTGGACCCACACAGTTCAAACCCGCGTTGTTCAAGGGTCGACTGTCCTTGAAAGGAATCTTCTAAATATCAAGTGGTAGATAACAGCTCAATATGAGACGTGTGTACATCACCTCTCCTTGTCTACAACTCAGCCCCGAGGTGTGATCACTCAAAAGTTCGCTGTATCAACTACCAGACCAATATGCAAACAAGTATGTAGTGAGAGATAAGGGTTTTATTTTTTCTTGTTCACTTTTGAAAATCTGAGATCAAACTATATGAAACTTTCTGGAACTTCCCCTTTTGCCTACTGTCATGATGAAGTTCATACTGACACACAGATTCTTTCATTATTTTTTTCCCAAATAGCTTTACTGAGTTATAATTGACAAGATAAACTCCACATGCTTAGAGTGTAATTTGATAAGTTGTGACACCCTTGAAACTACCGCTGTAATCAAGATAATGAACATACAGAAATCTCCCAAAAGTTTTCCTATTGCCTTCTATAATTCCTCTTTCAGGCTCCTCTCCTTTCTGCTTTCTGACCCTGTAGATTAGATTGTATTTTTTATTGTAACATAAGTTGAATCATATAGAGTGTACCCTTCCTTGTGGTCTGGCTTTTTGCACTAAGCATAATTGTTTTGAGATATCTATGTTGTTACCGTATGATGTTCATTTCTTTTTATTGCCAAGTTGTATTCAATTGTATAGATATACCACAGACTGTTTATGCATTCACCTCATGACAGAAATTTGGATTATTTCTTGTTTGAGGGTGTTACACATAAAGCTGCCATTACTTTTCATCTTTATATGGATATATGCTTTCACTACTCTGGGGTAAATATTAATACCTAGGAGTAGAATAGCTGCATTGTATGATAGATCTATGATTAACTTTTTAAAAGGACTGTCAACATGTTTTCCAAAGAGATTGGACTATTTTACATTTCCACCAGCAGTGTGTTAGAGTTCTGGTTTCTTCACCTCCTCATTCACACTTGGTATGATCAGTATTTTTTTTTTTGTGGGGGGGACAGAGTCATGCTCTGTCACCAGGCTGGAGTGCAGTGGCATGGTCTTGGCTCACTGCAACTTCTGCCTCCCGGGTTCAACCTATTCTCCTGCCTCAGCCTCCCGAGTAGCTGGGACTACAGGTGCACCACCATGCCCAGCTAATTTTTGTATTTTTAGTAAAGACAGAGTTTTACCATGTTGGCCAAGATAGTCTCTATCTATTCACCTCATGATCCACCAGCCTCGGCCTCCCAAAGTGCTGGGACTATAGGCATGCACCACTGCACCCTGCCTGATCAGTGTTTTTAATCTAATGGGGATCTAGGAGTGTCACATCGAATTTTTAATTTGCATTCCCCTAGTGAATAATGAATTCCCTAGTGAATTTTATAAGCTAATTTATCATCTTAATATCTTCATTGAAGTGTCTATTCAATTTTTTGCCCATTTTAAATTGAGTTGTTTTCTCATTATTTTATTTTGAGAATTTTAAAATATATTCTGGATGCAAGATGTCTGCCAGATATATGACTGTGATTTTTTCCCCCAAGTCTGTGGCATGTCTCATTTTCTTTTTTCTTTTCTTTTCTTTTTCTTTTGAGCTGGAGTCTTGTTCTGTCGCCCAGGCTGGAGTACAGTGGCACTATTTTGGCTCACTGCAACATCCACCTCCCGGTTCAAGTGATTCTCCTGCCTCAGCCTCCCAAGGAGCTGGCATTACAGGCACCCACCACCATGCCCAGCTAATTTTTGTCTTTTTAGTAGAAACAGGGTTTCACATATTGGCCAGGTTGGTCTCAAACTCCTAACCTTAAGTGATCCGCCTGACTTGGCCTCCCAAAGTGCTGGGGTTATAGGCGTAAGCCACCACGCTCAGCCTCATTTTCTCTTTCTTTTCTTCTTTTTTGATGGAGTCTGACTCTGTCACCCAGGCTAGAGTGCAGTGGTGCAATCTCGGCTCCCTGCAACTTCTTCCTCCCGGGTTCAAGCAATTCTTCTGCCTCAGCCTCTCAGTTAGCTGGGATTACAGGAGTGCATCACCATGCCCAGCTAATTTTTTTGTATTTTTGGAAGAGACAGGGTTTCACCATGTTGGCCCGGCTGGTCTTGACCTCCTGACCTCAAGTGATCCACCTGCCAGCCTCCCAAAGTGTTGGCATTACACACATGAGCCACGGTGCCCTGCCCCAGCTTCATTTTCTTAATGGTACCTTTTGAAGAGCAGAAGTTTTAATTTTGATGAAATCCAACTTATCAATTTGTTTTTTTATGGATCATTTGTTTGATGTTAAATTTAAGAAATTTTTCTCTAAGTCAAGGTCACAAAGATTTTCTTCTACGTGGTTTATAGATTTAGATTTTACATTTAGGTCTATGATCTATTTGAGTTAATGTTTGGGTATAGTGCAAGTTAGATGTCAAGGTTAATTTTTTTCATGTGCATTTATGTCCAATTAACCTAGCACCAGTTGTTGAAAAGACTACTGTTTTTCTCCATTTAATTGCCTTTGCACTTTTGTGGTAAATCGGTTGTTCATGTATGTGTAGATATATTTTCAGACCCTCTGCTCTATTTCATTAACATATTTTCCCATCTTTACACCAATATCACACTATCTTGATTTCTGTAGCTAACAAGTACTTGTATTGAAGTCACATAGTTTTAGCCCTCCAACTTGTTCTTCAAAATTATTTTGTCAATTCTAGATTCTTTACATTCCTGTATGATATTTTAAAACAAGCTTGTCTACAAAAATATTGCTGGGATTTTGCTGAAGATTGCCTTGAATCTAGAAATCAACTTGGGGAGAATCTGCATCTTGATAATGTTGCATCTTCAATAAACATGATTGAGAGAGACTCTATTTACTTGGGTCTTCTTTAATTTCTCTCAACAACGTTTGCAGTTTTCAGAGTACAAGTCTGAGACACATTTTGTCAGAAGTATTCTTAGGTATTTCATAGTTTTAAAATATTATGGTAAATGGTATTGTTTTTTAAATTTTAACTTCTATTTGTTTGTTGCCAGAATGAAGACTTGCAATTGATTTTTTATGTTGATCTTGTGTCCTAACAACCTTGCTAAAATCACTTATTAGTTTTATTAATAGAAATTTTTATTAGAACTTAGAATATTCCATTAGATTTTCTACATAGATGGTCATGTTGTATGTGAATAAAGACAGTTTTACTTTCTTTCAATATAAAATGCCTTCTTATTTCTTTTTCTTTTCTGATTGCACTATGTGGCCAGTACAATGTTAAATAATTAACAATAAAGAGTTTTATCAATGACATTCATTTGAAGACTCCATATTTTTAAGATGTGAATTCTCCCCACACTGATTTCTACATCAGGGTGAGGACAGACATCTTTGTCTTGCTCCTCATCTAAGAGGGAAAACACTTATCTTTAATCATTGACATATTGCATGGATATGCATATTGTATAGATGCTCTTCATCAGATTGAGAACTGCTCTTTTATTCCTACTTTGCTGAGAAATTTTAGATGAAGAATGGATATTAGCCTTTGTGAAGTAGTGTGTCAATTGAAATAATCTTATCGTTTTCCTTTTTAGTTACTAAAATGATTAACTACATTGATTGATCTTTAAATATTAAACCAACCCTGCATTCCTGGCAAAAGCCTTATTTGATCATACCTTATTATCCTTTTTACCTATTGTTAATTTCCTAAAATTTTGTTTAGAATTTCTGCATCTAGCTTCATGGTGGATATTAGATTGTACTTTTATTTTTTAGTAATATCTGTGAAATTTTGATATCAAGTAATGCAAGCCTCATAAAGCAAGCTGAGAAGTGTTTCCTCCTATTCAATTCTGGAAGAGTTTACATAGAAATAGTATTATTTAATTCTGAAATGTTTGGTTGAATTCACCAATAAAGCCATCTGGGTCTGGAGTTTTTACTGTGGGAAGGTTTTTAACCAGAAATTCAATTACTTCAATAAATATAGGGCTACTTAGGTTACCTATTTTTCTTAAAGGATCTTTGGTAGTGTAGTTCATATCTCTAAATAAGTCTATCCATTTCATTTGGATTGTTAAATTGACAAAATATTGTTTATAATATTCTCTTATTATCCTTTTAATGTCTGTAGTATCTTATAATGTTGTCACTCTCTCATTCCTGATGTTGGTCATTTGTGTCTACACTCTTTTTTATCTGATCAGTCTGGCTTAAGGATTATCAATTTTATTGATCTTCTCCAAAAACCAGAATTTAGTTTTTAATTTTCTCTTTTTTTATATTTTATTATTTTTTGTTTTTTTTCTGTTTTATATTTCATTGCTTTCTGCTCTCATCTTTATTTCCTTTCTTTTGAATTTAAATTGCTATTTATTTTCTAGTTTCTCAAGGTAGAAGTTGAGTTCATTGATTTGAGACCTTTCTTCTAACACAAGCATGCCGTACTATAAATATACCCATTTAGCAGCATATTGTCAGTTCCTAAACTCAGGAAATCCACTACACTCAGCCTGGATTCCCCCTCTTTTTGTAACAAACTAGACATTCTTTTAAGGCAATAAAATAGGAGTGATCATAGGACTTATCTCATTTGCTTCTCATCTCTTGGAGATATTTGTCTTTTGTTGCCTGATGTCTTGTTTCTTAAAAGTATTGGGGCTCTGAAAATGACTCCAAAGTGAAGACCTTAGAAGCATCCTCAGAAACAAAGTTTCTCTCTGATCTCCTTTTGCCCTTCTGTCTCTCAACCCTCATTCTTCCCTGAGGCAAGCCACAGAAAATAGAATTCCCCTTCCCCAAGGTGGATCATAGAAACCAGAACCCTCTTCCCACAAAGCCAGCCAGAAAACCTAAAAATGTTGCTCTAATCTTCCTCTGCCTTTTTGGGTGACAGCTGGCTATAAAGAAATTAAGACCCTCATTCCAGAAGGGTCCTACCCTATACCCAGGAGGAAGAAATGCTACAATATTTCTTCCTCAGGAAGAACCTTATCAGACAGACCTTGCTAGGTTTTCCCAATCAGCCTATTGCCATAAGCTCATACCCTTTGGTTCATCTAATTACATTTCTATACACTGTCCCTGCATCATCAAACCTAAACAAAAATCAGATACTCCCCTGTATCTTTGGGTGTTTGTTCTGAAGATTCCCATGTCACATAAAACTATGATCAAATAACTTTGTTATGCTTTTCTCTTGTTGACCTGTTGTCCTAGGGATGTTGTTGGCTGTGACCCTTATGATGAGGAGGAAAAAGATCATTCCCTTTCTGTTTCTACAAAAGTCATTGTTTTAAATACTTTGTGTATTTTTTGTTGTTTTTGTTGTTTGGTTGGTTCTGGTTTTGGCTTCTTGTTCTTTTATGCACAGGGTAAATTCATTCCCTATTTCTCTATCTTGGTTGTTATGAGAAATCTCTTACTCCTACTTCGTAATGACCAAATAAGAAATCCCGTTATATAGAAACACTGCCATTCTTTTAGCCTTCTTCTTTGCTGGACATTTAGGTTTTACTATTATAAAGTATGCAGTGAAAATCATGTATCCTGGTGCATTTCTGTAAATATTAATGAAGAATTTTTTTAGAATTTTAATTAGTATAAATATATTAGATTTTGATAGAAAGAGCCATATCTAAAATGATTGGTCAGATAATTATGATATATTTTTCAATACAGTAATACACAATTATGCCATATGTAGTACAAAAAAGAACATCTTTGTATAGTCCTTTTAAAGAGAGTATTATTAAGCTTTGAGCAAACAAAGATTTTGGCTGCTTAAGTCAAAATAAGCTAGGTTATGCTGAAATAACAAACAGCTGTGATTTAATGCAAAAAAAGGTTTATTTCTCAGTCAGGCTGCATTTCTATCACAAATTAGCTAGAAGCTCTGGTCCCTTTTGTGCTCATTCTGAGACCAAGAATGTTAGAGCAGCCACTGTCTAGAAAATAGTCTGTGACCATGGGAAAGAGACGTGAGATGCGGACACTGCACCTTGAATTCAAACTATATGTCAATTCTGTTCTTATTTCATTGGCCAAACCTAGCTAAAATGGCAATACCTAACTTAAGTTAGGTGAGGAAATATAATCCAACCTTATGCCTAGAAAAAGAAACCTGGAATGTTTGGAAACATCTGTATTGACTGTTACATGTAAAATTGTGCAACAAAAAATTACACCAAAAATATTTTCACACACATAAAAAGATGTCTCAGTTTTGGCAGAGAGATGGGGTGGGTTGGTGGAGTGGGGGCGTCAGACAGTTCTGGGAAACCTCAAGACAGCTTTAACTTCTGATACCAACTTCAGAGCTTATGAATTCTCAAGACCAACCTCAAATGTGATAATTTGTCAGAAGGACTGACAGAACTCATGGAAAGCTGTTATATTCATGGCTGTAGTTTATTATAGTGAAAGAATACAGATTAAAATAATCCAAGGAAAGAGAGGCATGAAGAAGGAAGGATATCAAAAGAAATCCATATGTAGAGCTTCCAAGTATCCTCTTCCCGTGAAATCATGAACAGTGCTAAATTTCTTCAGGCAACAATGTATGGCAATTCACATGAAGTACTGTTGATCAGGGAAGCTCTTTCATGTTTTCATTGGAGTTTGGTCATGTAGACATGGTTGGCTGCCTGTATGTAGTTGGTCTTTATTTTCCAACCTTCCCAGCTCTTGCGGTCAAGGTGATATCACATAGCCAAAACCTCCACCATAAACCACATTATTAGACTGTCCCATGTGGCCCGAGGTTCCCAGATAAATGCAGACCCTCCTATCAGGCAAGACACTCCAAGAACTAAGAGATCACCTCCTAGGAGCCAAGTGCAACAGACCTCTCTTGGGTAAGGTTAACTCTCCTACACAGGGATCAAACTATATTTGACTCAACATCATTTCAGGGCTCTACGATGAATTTGTTTATATATCTTATTGTAAAGAAAAATAACAGGTGAACTCTACCAATAATGTTTTCTATTTAATAAAGAGTCTTTATTTTTGGCAGTGTGGTGGGATAAAGTAATGCTACACAGGCATACGTCTCTTTATAGCACTTCTCAGCTGTTGTGTTTCTTACAAATTGAAGTTTTGTGGTAACCCAGGATCAAGCAAGTCTATCGGCACCGTTTTTCCAACAGCATGTACCCACTTTGTGCTTCAGTGTCACGTTTTGGTAATTCTTGCAGTATTTTGAACTTTATTGTGATTATTATATCTGTCATGGTAATCTATGATCTGGGATCTTTGGTGTTACCATTGTAATTGGTTTGGGATGACACAAACTGCACCCATATAAGAAGGCAAACTTGATAAATTTGTGTTTTGACTGTTCTACTCACTGGCTGTTCTCTCATCTCTCTCCCCCTCCTTAGACATTTCTATTCCGGGAGACACAACAATACAGAAATTAAGCCAGTTAAGAACCCTACAATGGCCTCTAAGTGTTCAAGTGAAAGGATGAGTTCCATGTCTCCCACTTTAAATTCAAATCTAAAAATGATGAAGTTTACTCATGAAGGCATGTCAAAATCTGATATACACGGAAAGTTAGGCTTCTTGTGTTAGACAGCCAAGTTGCGAATGCAAAGGGAATGTTCTTGAAGGAAATTAAAAATGCTGCTCCGGTGAAAACAAAAATGATAAAGTAAAATAGCCTTATTGCTGGAGCGGGGAAGTTTTCATGGTCTGGATAGAAAATGATATCAGCTATAACCTGCCCTTAAGACAAAGCTTAATCCAGAGCAAGGCCCTAACCTCTTTATTCTATGAAGGCTGAGTGTGGTCAGGAAGCTGCAGAAGAAAAGTTTGAGATTAGCAGAGTTTGGTTCATTAGATTCAGGGAAAGAAGCCAT